ACACACAAAACACACTCACCCACCCACCACACCCACCACACCCACCACACCCACCTGGCCCTTGCATGGGTTCTGGGATCCAAACTCCCAGTCCCACACTTGCATGACAGGCACTGTAACCACTGAGCCACCTCCCCAGGCCTGCATTATCATATTTGAAAGTCTGCTTTATTAGTATTCCATAACAACAGTGTGTGTAATGAAGTCAATTCTACTGGGGCATATTCAGTTCTCCCTAACAAGGAGTGTAAGTAGCTGGTATAGTAGGCCTTGGAGTTGTGAGTTATGAGATATGAGATAGCGGGATGGAGGATTCTTCATAGAAAAACTTTGAAATGTGAACATTTGCATGCAGCATTTAAATGTCAGTTATTGGGGGCTGGAGAGATGGTGCAATGGTTAAGAACACTGGTTGTTCTTACAGAAGACCCAGGTTTGAATCCCAGCACCCACATGGCAGCTAACAACTGTGCGTTACTCCAGTCCCAGGGGATCCGACAGCCTCTTCTGACCTCCGCCGGCATTGCACGACATGGGTGCACTTACCTACACGCAGGCAATACACCATACACATAAAATAAATACAAAAAAAATTTTTTTAAATGTGAGTTATTTATAAATATGCATCTATGTGATGTCCACCAAAATTCTTAACCTTTTTTTTTACTTCCTGAGAAAAAGTACATGGCAGGGTGTGTGGTCCCCATAGTTGAAGAATGCTTTGCTGTTGGCGTCACAAACAGTGTAAAGAATAGTTGTAATCTTGTCTTTTTATTTTCCGTAAAATGTGTTTGCTGTTGGAGTAGGCTATGTCGGAGTTGTCTTTTCTGAAAGTTGCTTGGTTATCTCAAAGTCTTTGCTAAAATGCTGTGCGGCGTGCCAGCTCTCCACTCACTTGTTACTAACCCTAATACAGGAAGGAACACAGAAAGCTGCTTTCTGAGAGTCAGCCAAAGCGCCACGTTCCCTTCCTCCTCCTTCGTTTTAGCCCAGTGCAATACAGTGTATGAGAAATGGGATGTTTCCAGCCATGGGAATCCAAAGTGTTAATTCATTGCCATTGCTGTTGTTATATAGAGCTAAGGCTGTAGATTTTTAAAGGGTGCTTGCTGCCTTGCAGCTGAAGTTAAAACATTCTGCCAGCTACTTTCAGGGCGCAGTGAGTTCATAGTGCACTAGAGTACTGGGGAGCCGGCGTCTGTGTTTGGAACGTGCACCTTCCCATTTAATTTTTCCCACAAGCACTGCCGTGGCTTGTTTCTGAAGTGTGTAAGACACCTGCAGGTCCCCATGTATTGGTGCCTGTGACCACACCTGGAACTACTGCAGTGAGCCAAATCCTGGGGACATAACTGAGCGAAACCTGCCTGCCCTCGTGGGCTCACTCTGGGACGACACGCTGGCTTTATAAATAAGTATTTATGATGTCAGGTGGTGGTGAGTACTTCGTAGGAAAAGAAAGCAGGCAAAGGAAACAGTGATGTAGAAATAGAGATGTGTGTTCAGATAGTGGTCAGAGAATGCATCTTTGAGGAAGTGAGAGGTTAGCAAGGACTTAAGGGAATAAGCTACATAGACACCCAGGGAAGCATCCTAGACAGCGCAAAGACTCTGAAGTACAGAGAGCGAGAGGAGCATCCACGAGACCACTGGTGGGATTGAGGCCAGTGAGGTAACCAGAGTTTCTCCTGTGGCCTTCTAGGCCATGAAAGGACTTCAGATTTTAATTTTGGGGAAATGGAAAACCGTTGCATGGGTTTGACCAGAGAGGCCAGTAAGTGAACAAGTTTCCAAGTGGCTTGAATGTTACCGTGGTTCCAGACCTAGAGTTTACACTGACCAGTTGTGCACACACTGATCAAGCGTTTCCTCAGCCATTAGGAGGTGAGCATGTTGGATGTTGACTTTTCTTTCTGCCATGTGTCGTTTGATAAACATTTTTAATCCATTATGGCAATGGAGAGGGCGATGTGAATGATGGTGCTGACCTGCCATAATGCATCCAGGCAAGACAGTTGAGCATGTCTTCAAGGGAAGTGGTTGAGGACTTGGAGAGTTAGTCCAAGAAGACCTTGGACATTTTGGAAAGCGTCAAAGCCTTTACTGCAGCCTGAGAGGATGAGCTGCAGTTCCATGAAGGGTGCTGGAGGGCACTTGACTGAAAGCATTTGTGATTCTTGGGGTTGGAGGAGCAGAAGAGTGACTGTTCATCTCCAGTAGTGCTGTGCTGTGGGAATCTCACCTGCCGCAGGCTCACTTGGCTTACACGCTATTGTTAACCAGATGTGGCTCTCCTTCTGAAAACACATGCACACGTGCTTGTTCTACTTCATCTCATGCAAATCATTTATAGTGGTCTTTAAAAACACGTAAATAAATTACTTATTAAAAATAGTTATCAATAGCTGGGCGTGGTGGCGCACGCCTTTAATCCCAGCATTCGGGAGGCAGAGGCAGGCGGATCTCTGTGAGTTCAAGGCCAGCCTGGTTTACATAGTGAGTTCCAGGACAGCTGGGGC